AGTTATAAGTCATCTAATTCTTTATTATTGGGATTCCATTAGCACGCACCTGAATGGCAAAGCAACAATCCCTCATAAATCCAATAAGTGGTTTGGTACATTTTCAGTTGCTAAAGTTTCAATAGTCCTTTAACAGAAAATTGTATCGTTAATTGGAAGCAGTAGTATGATTGACCCTGATGAAAGCAAAGGTCCACTGTCTGTTAGAAAAACCACATAAGAAATGGTGTTGCAGCTATTCCATTTGATTGCTTCACACTACCATCAGCCCGACCAATGACCTCATACATCTTCATTTAAATCCTATGCAGATCATTGATTTTGTATGCAGGCAGTTCGCACCATTCAATAAAAATAACAGGTCCATTATGATTTTTGAGGTTCTGGCAGGATATTTCCATAAGCTCCCATGGGGAAAAGCTTGAAGCATATTTAAAACTTTAGGGTTCTCAAAAGTTAAAATAATAGTTGTCTTTCTTCTAAATAGTGCCCCAAATACTTTAAAACGATTAATAGGCGTATAAGCTGTGTTAAATGTTGCACTTGAACTATCTGTATTCTTTGAGGAATGAACCGTCCATAGGAATTCCAATCCATAACTTTAAAACAGGAAAACATAAAGCCTCGTTGTATAATGTTCTACAAGTTCTGTATAAATGTTAGGGTCTAAAGAGAATTGACTTTTGGTATGAATGAAACATTCATTTAAAATCCCATCTTTGTTCGAAATAGTTGCTGGGTTACGTTGTAATAGTAACTGTTCACTAGCTTCTACTGCCTTCGTTATCAAGTGATGGTCATTCATGACAAATTTATTTGTTCGTAGTCCCTGCTGGATTTGAATCTGAAGACAAATTGCAACTTTAGAGTGGATTGAAAGCTCAAGCATATCCATTACAGATGTGCATTGTAAGCGTCGCTACTGAACTTTACTTTAAGCTGAATGTTTCCTGCAAAAGCTGGAATAAATCGAATAGCTTCTAATGGAAGGAATCTTCTAACAGGAATTTTTAAACAAAGCTTAAAATCAAATGATTTTCCTGCTGTAATTGGACCACTAACAATTTGTCCTGTTCTGCATGTTCCGAATGACTCCATACATCTTCATGTCGAGTCTTTGAAAAACATCTACTTTCTTTATTTGTTCGGTAAGTTTGTGAGTTTGAAGTTAATATGCTTCTTCTCTTGCGTTATCTTGAGAATATACGATACGACCATTTGCAAGGATTTGATATCCAGCAACTGCATAGAAAGCGTCATCGAAACCAATCCAAAATCCTGGTGGGTTTTTTTATGGAACCTGAACCAATTTCTTTATCTACAATAAATTGACCTTCCATTTTATACGTAATGAATGTATTGTAAAGGTCCAATATATTTTCACCAGGAGGTGAGAGATTGAATGTTACCCATGTGTTATCTTTAGCAGTTCCAGGTTGTGATGGAATCTTTGCGTCAGAATATTTTCTATTAGTGTCACCAATTTGAACTGCATTGTCTATGATATCGAAATATGAGCGAATCTAGTTAGTATACATATCATGGGTACGGCGGCACTGCGCGCCTCCTTACCCCTGATATGTGAATTTGACACTTTACAAAAACCGTTAACGTATATTTTACAACACAAACGACAACACTAACGAATTAACCTTAAATATTTACAAACGACTTCACTAATGTAAAAATAAACGTTCTCACTTACAAAAGTATTGCAACTCTTCCCATTGCTGTGCTTCATATAACAGCTCATAATCTTCTGACTCACTTTCTTCTTCATATAGGTCAAAATCACTGTCATAGTTTATACCTGTAAGTTTTGACAAAGCTAATGAAACACGCTTACCGTTTGTATCTATGCTTGTATAAACTTTCCATTATGCTTGTAGTCATAAACGCTCAAACTAACTTTACCCTTTCTCCCTCGTATCTGATAGAATGTATTTTCACGAGGAACGAAGAACAAATTCTTGAACTCATGACCGTTGTAGTTTGTTATCTCAATAGTTTTCGTCATTTATATAAAAATAAAATAAAAAATAAAATAAAAAATTAATGATATCACCACCCCACACGTATGAAAACATCCATTTAAAATTTAGGTGAAGTTGAGATCTCACCTCTTTTTTCACCTTTTCACCCTGTTGAATTCATTGCTTTATAACTCTCTTCCTTTCTCCAACTCTTCTAACTTCTTCTTAAGTTCAGCAATGTTGTCCTCATGAAGTTTAATCTTCCTTAATTCCTTCTCTATCTAATGGTTGCTTTATCTTTCTAAACTGAACTCTACCATCCTTCATAGTATGAATGTAAAAACCTTCTGGAATAGTTCCTGATTTAATGTATTCTACCAAAAACTTTTGTTTCATTGCTTCAGTGACTTTATTTGTCATTTCAATCAAATAAAAATTTTAATATTAAATAAAAATAACGTTATTTTTTCAGTAAGGAAACGCAGGAGTTTTACGATTTATTTGAGGAGTAGGTTCTGGTTTAAATGTTGGAGTCGGTTTAGGAGTTGACTTTTGAACAGGAGTTTGTACTTCCATAGGTTCAGGAGTCATTGAAGGTTTTGCTTGTGAAGGCGTTGGTTTTGGCGAAGGTGTTGGAGTTTGTTTAACTTCAGCTACTTCAGTATTATTTACAACATTTGCTTTATTTCTTTTCAACATCATAACTGCTCCTGCTGTAGCTAGCAAACCTAGTGGGAGACCATATTTATATAAGGACTTGACCAAATGCTATTTTTGACAGGAGCTGGTGGAACACCTAACCTTGGTGAGACTGCTCTTTGCCATTGTGCAGCTCGTAAGAAATATTCAATAGGTGCTCCATAATCGTTTGGTAAAGTTTGTTTCATAGATGGTGAAGGTTCACGAGAGCTTGATGAAGAACTCATTTATAAGCTTTAAAAATAAACGTTCATCCTTTATTCCTCACTGTCGTCCGTAGCTAAGTTATAGTCATCATCTTATTATGGGATGCCATTCACGCACCTGAATGGCAAAGCAACAATCCCTCATAAATCCAATAAGTGGCTTTGGTACATTTTCAGTTGCTAGTTCAATAGGTCCTTTAACAGACAATTTGTATGTTATTGGAGCAGTAGATGTTTGACCTTGCTGGAAGCAAAAGTCCACTTCTGTTGGAAAACCACATAAGAAATGTGTGTTGTCATAGCTATCCCATTTATGTTCCACACTACCATCATCCACCAATGACCTCATAACATCTTCATTAAATCCTATCATATCATTGTTTGTATTGCAGGCGTTCGCAACCATTTCATAAAATACAGGTCCATATGATTTTTCAGGTTCTGCAGGCATATTTCCATAAGCTCCCATGGAAAGCTGAAGATATTTAAACTTAGGGTTCTCAAAATTAACATAATAGTTGTCTTTCTTTCTAAATAGTGCCCAAATACTTTTAACATTAATAGGCGTATAAGCTGCTGTAAATGTTGCACTTGAACTATCTGTATTCTTTGAGAATGAACCGTCCATAGGAATCCAATCCATAACTTTAACAGGAAAACATAAAGCCTCGTTTGTATAATGTTCTACAAGTTCTGTATAAATGTTAGGGTCTAAAGAGAATGACTTTGGATGAATGAAACATTCATTAAAATCCATCTTTGTTCGAAATAGTTGCTGGGTTACAGTTGTAATAGTAACTGTTCCACTAGCTTCTACTGCCTTCGTTATCATAGTGAATGGTTCATTCCATGGAACAAATTTATTTGTCGGTGGATTTGAATCTGAAGCAAATGCAACTTTAAGAGTTGGATTGAAAGCAATGATATCATTTACAGATATAGATGTGCATTGTAAGGCGTCGCTACTGAACTTTACTTTAAGCTGAATGTTTCCTGCAAAAGCTGGAATAAATCGAATAGCTTCTAATGGAAGGAATCTTCTAACAGGAATTCTTAAACGAAGCTTAAAATCAAATGATTTTCCTGCTGTAATTGGACCACTAACAATTTGTCCTGTTCTGCATGTTCCCGAATGACTCCATACATCTTCATGTCGAGTCTTTGAGAAAACATCTACTTTCTTTATTTGTTCGGTAGTTTGTGAGTTTGAAGTTATATATGCTTCTTCTCTTGCGTTGTCTTGAGAATATACGATACGACCATTTGCAAGGATTTGATATCCAGCAACTGCATAGAAAGCGTCATCGAAACCAATCCAAAATCCTGGTGGGTTTGTTTTATTGGAACCTGAACCAATTTCTTTATCTACAATAAATTGACCTTCCATTTTATACGTAATGAATGTATTGTAAAGGTCAATATATTTCACCAGGAGGTGAGAGATTGAATGTTACCCATGTGTTATCTTTAGCAGTTCCAGGTTGTGATGGAATCTTTGCGTCAGAATATTTTCTATTAGTGTCACCAATTTGAACTGCATTGTCTATGATATCGAAATATGAGCGAATCTGATAATATGCTCTGCTGGAGTAAATTCGTTTAACTGTTCGTTCTGCATGTATTTACTTCGGATAAAAATATCTATTTACTTCATTATTCTCACTCTTTTCTTGGCATTCGTGGTGGAAGTTGTTTCTTGACATTTTCAATGAACTGTACATTCTCTTTTGTCTCAACTTCTTTCACTGGCGGGTCGATTCTTTGACTCGGTTTGTTTTTCAATGAAATTCACGAACTTTGCAATAAGCTCTTGGTTCGTTATTGAAAGTACATCTGGCTTCTTTTCTTCTGGTTCTATTGACTTTTCAGTTTGAACAGAAGGTTTTATATGGGCTTCGTGGACTTCACCCTTGCCATACACCTTAATGTTGTCGCTCTCTGCATTCGCTAATGGAACCTTTCTTTTTCTTACGTATATTTTACCATCTTTACTCTGACTTACGTAATAGAAAGGATGTTGTATTCCTCTTGCGTCATTTAATATAATAGACTCTCGCTCTGATTTTGACAAGCTCATTTTACATCGGTTAAAGTTTTAATTTTGTTTTTTATCTGCAGTCAAATGACTCAGACAAGCCCTACGGACAAGACCCAAGGGGTCATAGATGTTGAAGCATTGAAGAAAGAAATTCGTGAGCAAATTTTATCCGAACTGAAGGAACAAAAACAAGAACAAAAGCCAGAGAGACCAAAGAGAAAACTTAGTGAAAAACAACTTGCTGCATTAGCTGCTGGAAGACAAAAGAACCCAAGACTACTGGCGAAAAAGCTAGAGAAGAAGCTGAAGCAAAGAAAGAGTAAATGGTTTATTTTTATCCGAATTAAATGTATAGACAAATACCTTTATCTGTTGCGTTCAGTAGTGAAAACCCTGACGTCAAAATAAAGGGGAACAGAGTAACGTTTAAGTTTCCAACAGACTGGATTGTGAACATAAATGAAGAGAAGTACATTGGCATAACATCTATGTATATAACACGTGCTTTCAGAAAGGTTGACTTTATACTTCAAGTCGAGATAGAAAATGACGAACAGTCTTTAAGCGCCAAAACATTCACATATACAAATACTTTAAAGACGATACAACATTGTTGCAATGTATGATTTCATTTAATGAAATGTTCGAGAAAAAGTTTAACATTGAAGTACAAACTTTACAGCCTTTACGTGAGTTTCTTGCACAACTGAAAGAAGAAGGTAGTCAGCCACAACTTATAGACTTTCATTATGAATTTAATGAAAATGAAGATGGAACTCATGACTGTCAGTTTGTTATATATTCACCATTCAATGAAGTAGCTAAAAAGAAAGAAAATCCATTACGTATAAGATTTCAAATCTCTGAACCAATGATGATTCAAGAATGTTTTCAATTATGATGCAATGCTTCCGAGGAAAAATGAATTTTCAAAGATTGTAACACCTGGCATTTGGGATAGAAAGCAAGCTATATTATATTCAAACTTAAGTAAGGGAGTTGAAAATGAGTTCATTGGTCATACAAGAACTTCACCACTTCCTAACCCTAAATACTATAAATTAACTGGCTTCAATCGTGAGTTTTGGATAGACATGTTCTCCACTCATGACCATAACTGCCAGTGTTCTTACCTCCAGACCATAAGGACTGTCTCTACATTGAAGCACAACTCTTAAACTCTACCATCGCAGTATTGTAAAATCTACGCTAGTTTTATTTTTTCTGAAAATTTTTATTTGAGTGAAAGGCATGGAAGGTGAAGGACATTGGCAAACACTCGAACATGACAATGACTATGAAATCTTTTCAGAGTACCCTTATCCAATTAGACGTATAAGCAATAAAAGAGTTGTTAGTGAGTTTGACCAAGGAGATGGTTATATTTGTGTAAATTTAAACAAACACAAGCTGATGAAACATAGAATAGTTGCAGAAACTTTCATTCCGAACCCTGAAGGACTTCGTGAAGTAGACCATATAAACAGAGACAGAGGAGACTTTCATATCTCGAACTTAAGATGGACGACAAGAAGAGAAAACATGAGAAATATTTCTGGTTCAAATGGCTATTGGTTTGACATTGTTGACTCTCTTCCTGAAGACGCTGTTGAAATTATACAATACTCATATCACACGTTAGAGAACTACTACTATGTCCCAAGTGAAGATGCCTTTTACTATTTCATGGGAACTCAATACAGACGAATGAATGTCTTAAGACAGTATAACAAAGATTATATAAACATTACAGATGTAGAAGGAAGAAGAACAAAGCTGTCTATTGCAAAGTTTAAGAGAGACAATGGTTATACATAAATGACAAAAATATATGACCTCATTATTTTTATCACGAATGACCTCATTGCTGACAAAAATAAATGACCTCAGAACTTCAACTTACGAATAAAGCTTGTTTTAGTCGTTATTGAGAAGTTAAACTTTTCAGCAAAGCAAGGACTAGAAGACTTACATAAGTCAAATCCAATCTCTTGACCATCATGAAGTGCTTTGTAAAGTTTCATTAAACTGAACTCAGAGTCTTTGTCATATGTTCCAACAGGTATGTGAATGTTCTTATCTTCATTGTAATAGCATTGTATAGCTTCAGGAAACATTTCATTTGCTGTTAAAGCAAGGACGTCTTGTTTGACACCTTTGCAACGTGCATGGAATGCAACTTCATTTAAATCATTCGTGAGTAAGTCTATGTAAGTCTTCTTTCCACAAAATATTGACTTGTATGCTAAACTTTGTTTTCCAGGTGTTATTTCTGCGAAGTCAGAATGAAATTGACCAAGGTTCTTTCCTATAAGTTCGCGACCGTATCTCTTCTTAAACTCTGCTGCAAGCTTTGGTATGTCTTCATTGAAAATATGCATGCTATCACAGTCCTGGTAAAATATTTGAAGTCCCATATCTTCAGCAGTACAGAATACTTCACACATTATTCTCTTCGACATAGACAGAATGTTAACACCAAGTGGACAGAAGTTAAAGTGTCTGCAAATGCTTTTCGTTAGCTTGAAAATAGTTTTATCTGAACCATCCAAACCTTCGAACTTCACTATATGGTTGTAGTTTCTGATGGCATATCTTATAGCATCTTTGTCATTTACTATGGTTATTTTTGACTCAATAGGAGATAGAATAGTTTTGCCATAAATACTGTTCAGAATGAGCTTTATATTTTCTTGCAAAGGATTTCCTTCTTTCTTATACTTTAACCTTAACTCAAACAACTTCTTTACTTCATCTCTTATTCTAATATCTCTGTTTCCATCGTAATAGTATCCTTGCAACACTTCACATTTGACACCTTGATATTTTATGAGGTCTTGTAATGTTATATGGTCAACATACATTAACAGCAAGTGTTTGAACTTCTGGGAACGTTAAGTTCTGGATTTAGTTCAGGGTCACAAACTATTAAAGGAAAGTGTCTATGTATTCCAATCTCTGTTATCTTAATGAGAACAAAGAAGCCAGAAATAAACTTTTCACCAATGGGTTCCTTTTGGTCGTCATTGAATAAATGTCTCATGAGATACTCTGTGCTTAACATTTCTTCTTCAATACTTTTGGAATACCTTCTAAAGTATAAAGTCTTGCTATAGCGGATGGATATAATGAAACAGCGTCGAAGTCAGCAATGAGTTTCTTTTCGCTCTTTTGTTTAATGTTATCTGACAACATACATCTTCCACCTTGAATACAGCGTGAAATAAACTCTCTTGGTTTATTTGAGAGGTCATATAAATTTCCATTCGGGAAGTACACTCTGTTCTCAAATAATTTGTTAGCAATTGAACAAATACTAACGTAGTCATAAACGTTTAAATCAAATTCTTTCAATATGTCATTGCGGAACTTAACAAAACCTTCTCTTAAAATTCTTACATCTTGTTTGCAATAAAATGTGCTATACTTTTCTAAGTCGAAGTGGTTCTCATCTATTCTGCAACCTTTGATGGAATCTATGTTTTTCATGAATGTATCAATATCTTACAAACTTACATGCTTCAGAAATGACACCAGTTCTGTTGTCATTTGCTAACAAAGTACTGCTGTAGTAGTTGTATGGAAATACTTCTTTCGGTCCTGTTTGTAAGTTAAACATAGCAGGAAATAGTTTAAGCTTCTTATTTATAACACTGTAAGAGTCTTTTATAATAATTGCCCTTCCTTTATATAAGCCAGTTATTTGCATTGTTCGTGAACCTTTAATGATGGGAGTTCCTTTCACTTCTGTCATGTGTCTTAAGATGAAGTTTATATCATAACTGAGGTTATGGAAATATATTAAACTCTTGTCAGGAAGTCGTTCCAAAAATTCTGTTGCACAGTTCTGACCCCAAATGCTTTCACTCACTGAACCATCTTCACTGTCATAACAGATGTTAAAAGCTTTATGAAAGCCATCGGTACTGCACTCAAAGTCAGCAAAGAAAACGTGCTCAGGAATGAACTTGCACTTATTTTTATTTACTTCTTTTGACTCTGCTTTCTTCTTCAGTTGTACACAATACTTTGGAGCATATGTCAAATCTTTAAATGGTGCAAGGTTCTGTTTATATAAGTCAGTCGTATATGTGAAAAGTTCTCCATAAGAAATAGGTTCGAAATATTTGCACTCCCACAATGTTTTCATAACATCCCATAGCGGTGTAGTTCTATCCATGCGAACTACATATTTATCTTCTCTCTTTGTATAAATCTTCATCTGTTTCTCATTGTTCATTCCACCACACTCCTTCAAGATTTCTATATAGTTGCGAATGAAATATGTTGTCATTGGAAGTCTTTCGTTTAGCATGTAGTGGTCTTCAACAAGAAGTAAGTCAATAGTTCGAACAGTTTCACATTCTTTTGGTATGTATCTCTTTATTTCATTATGTCTTGAGTCATTGAAGTAACCAATGGTAACATTAAATGCTATACCTGTTGCGTCAGAAATTTCTTGTACTTTACTTTGAGGAAAGTCTCTAACACGAATGACTTCTCTCATGTGGTCAATAGTTTCTTCATTTACTCCAGCCTGAATGCAAGCATAAACGAAACAATTGTCCTCTGTCATAAGTGTTGCAGTTCTTTTGTTCAGTTCATTGAAGATTTGGTAGCGTTCAAGATTTATAGGTAATGTGCAAAGATACTTCCAGAACTGACCGCTTCTCTTCTTATAAAACTTCTTTTCACCAAGGATTTCATTCCAGAAGTCATCTATATCTTGTTTATCTCCTGTTTGTTTAAGTCTGTTCAATAATCTTTTCTGTCTTTCTGTCAGTGTGCTTTCATCTCTATATGGTCTCTTTTTTGGTTTGCCTTTCTTTACATCTGACATCGTTAAGCCTTCATATTCTGTTAAATCATACATCTTTATTTCGGTAAGATTCTTTATGTTTGTCAAGAAGAAGTCATAGTGCATTTCAACAATACCTGCAGCATTTGCTTCTATCTCTGATATAAAGTTCTCCTTCAAGAGCTGATGTAGTAATGTTCCAATATTATTGAGGTTTAACGTAGAACATTCATACTTTCCACCAAGTTTATAACATACCATCCATCTTTGTTGGGAGTTTATTTTAATCTTCTCTAAGAGTCTCATGAAAACCTTACCGAAATGTTTGTGTAAGTAGTCTCTGTTTGGTTCATCTAAAGCTTCGATGTTAAAGTCAATGAGTCTATTGCCTGACTTCACATTTCTCTTCCTATTCTCTTCATCTTTCTTTAACCATCTCTCACCTTCTTTTGGTTTGTCGTCAATGGAACGAATGACATTATTAGCTTTGCGAACTTGTTCTATAGCACTTTTAAACATCTCTCTCTCCTCTGTTGTTTCAGTGTGTCGTCTCTCTTTCGTGTTTCACCAACGTTTGCATTTGTTATGTCAAACATCTCTTGACGAACATCATGCGAAAGAGCTTTACGAGTATGACCAACGTTTGCATTTGTTATGTCAAACATTTTCTCTTCTTACTTCATGAGGTACTGAACGTCTATGATATAAGTCAATAGCAACGTCATTTAAAGGAAATGCTCTTGCATGGACTTCGTCCTCGCCGCGTTGCGGCTTTATGAACTCATGAATTCTATCATAAGTTATTTCACCATTGTAGTCATTGAGGATGTCAGCGAGTGCCTTTTTGTTTGTTGCGTAATGCTTTGCAACATCTATATTAGCTTCTGTAAGAAGTTGTTTTATTTCCGAGTGTTCTAACTTAGACAACTTCCGATACATCTTTAGTAGGAAATAAAAAAATATTTTTTGAAAAAATTAGATTAGATTTTTTTAAGTTATTTTTCAAAATAATTTAATATTTTTATTTTAATGAAACACATGCAAGATTGCAAGTTCTTTTCATACAATGCTCTCGCTACTGCCATCAAGAATGAGTTCAATAATGCTTCAAATGTTAATGTTATCTTTAACAAGAAGTTTGTGAAAGAATCTAAGTTTGGTCAGTATGTCAGACCATTAGCTATCGTCATTGACCGCAAACGTTATACTTCACAAGAGTTAGCAGTAGTTTTGAAACAAAAGAGTTTCTTCGTGAATGTCAAAGATACTCATTATACTGTTATAAAGAACTCTAACATTGACTTCTTCAGTATTGCTATGAATCTTTCCGAACAGAAAGAATATAAGAAGGGTGAAACATGTGAAATATTATCCTTCATCTCTGAAGACAATAACGAACAAAGATGTTATACAGAAATTCTTACCAAAGGTTGAAGAAGCTTCTATTGACATTGACGAAGGAAGTGAAATGGTTGAAGAAATAGACCCTGAAGCTATTTAAGCAAAAATATATTTTTGGTTAGTCTTCATATCGATATTTTACAACAATTCCCCAATGTATAAACTTTTCATACGCTTTTTCATAAGCTTTATATACCTTCAGAAATTTTGCATAATCTTTAGAAGCATTTAGATATTGTTTAAATGCTTTGTATGTCTTCAGAAATTTTGCATAATCTTTTACATGTTGTTCGTTCTCTTCTTCTGTCATGAGTTCCGAATATTCTAAATTCATGTTCTTTCATATGAGATAAAATTTTATAAAAAAAGAAAATTAGCTTAGATTTTTTTATTCTTCCTCTTTGAAGTTGTCGAAATATTCTGTTATCTTTTCCTTCAGTAGCGGTAAGTCTTCTTTGAATGTAAGTATTGTACAACCTTTCATATCATAGTGTGTTTGAGGAAGAGTATTTTTGACAACTTCCTTTATTTGCTCATTCGGTGTCATTGAAATCGGTAAGTTTTCACGATAGAACCAGTTTCTGTCAGATTTATATATCTTAGCAAGGTCGTAAAAGCTTTTGTTGTTTCTTCTGACTAAATGTAACATAACCATATCTTTATCTTCTTCTTTCTCCAACTCTTCAGTATAAATCATATACTTATAACTCTTTTCCTTTCCTTTTGGTACCGAACGTGGTATTCTTTTCTGAATGCTTTTGTCTTTGGATTCAATGACTTCATCTTTTGCTTGAAGTTTCTTTTCCAGCTCTTCACGTTCTTGTCTGTGAATTTCGTCAAGAAGTTTACAAACATACCAAGCATAACGAGCTGAAGCCCATTGTGCCACATTATTTACAAGAAGTCTATGTACATAATATCCTCTCAAACGTTTGGCAATTTTTCACGATTTTCATAGAGTTTTGGCGACTGGGGTTTTTTACCTACTCGCTGTTCTTCACTGTTTTCAGAAAAAAGTATGTCTCGCTGTGCTTCATTTAATAGTTCAATAGTGCTTTGGTTCCTAAACCAGTCTTTAGGAAGCTTAGTATCTGGAGCATAACATGCTGTCAAAATACTTTGCATTTGGTACATATCATCTTTGACTGAACGAATGAGACGGAGTTGTTTGTTAAACTGTATGTATTCGTATTCTTCATTTATGGCTTCATGAACGATAGCGGTTGTTGTGTTCTCTGATGTTGACATTACTGTCTTTACATACAAAATAAAAAAATAAATAAAAATAAAATTAGCCTTTTTTTTACATTATGACACGAAGTGAAGATTTGCACTTCGTCAAATTTTATTAAAAATTAGCGTTATTTTTACATTATGACACGAAGTGAAGATTTGCACTTCGTCAAATTTTATTAAAAATTAGCGTTATTTTTACATTATGACACGAAGTGAAGATTTGCACTTCGTCAAATTTTATTAAAAATTAGCGTTATTTTTACATTATGACACGAAGTGAAGATTTGCACTTCGTCAAATTTTATTAAAAATTAGCGTTATTTTTACATTATGACACGAAGTGAAGATTTGCACTTCGTCAAATTTTATTAAAAATTAGCGTTATTTTTACATTATGACACGAAGTGAAGATTTGCACTTCGTCAAATTTTATTAAAAATTAGCGTTATTTTTACATTATGACACGAAGTGAAGATTTGCACTTCGTCAAATTTTTATTAAAAATTAGCGTTATTTTTACATTATGACACGAAGTGAAGATTTGCACTTCGTCAAATTTTTTAAAAATTAGCGTTATTTTTACATGTATTTTTTCAGCAACTTCGTCAAATAATTTTATAGCTTTATCTATCTCATCTACTTCAAACGTTTCTTTACCTTTTATGGGAGCACCATACATTTTCTCAAACTTTTCGAGTAGTTCTGTTTCTGCGGCTCTCATATCATTAACGAACACAACCTTGACTCTATTGACTGTAGAGTCATATCTTTGAGTTATATTATATGTCCTTCCTATCTTATATCTTTTTTGTTGAAGTCCTTCGGTTTCTGAACGATGTAAAGTAAGCCTTCACTGCAACGTTCCGTATCGAATGAACCATAAGTTATGAAGTTATATCCAACAACTGGGTCAATCCATAACAAAACTATTGGTATAAGACTTTTGTCTATAAGATATGCTCTTGTTCCATGAAATGCTACTGATATCATAAGCTCAGGATTTCTTGTCAAAATTTTCTGAGTTGAAGCATTTCTAACCCAGTCGTTTGTTTTCTTTCCAGATGGAGATATAATGTCTGACAAAGAATATTTGTTGTATTTCTTTGAGTATCTTACGTTTAAATCACCTATTCTAACCACTTTGGTGTCATTGTCTATCTTTCTAACTGTTTCAAAACTCAATGTTTGACATTACTGTCTTTACATACAAAATAACTAATGAAATTCATTATTTTTGTGCTGAATTCAATAAAAATAATGTTGAGGTGAAGAGGTGAGATCTCACCTGTTTTTTCACCTCTTTTTTCACAAGCGTTTTACATGAATTGTACGATGTATATTTGAAATCCTAAACAATTTCGTAGCTTCTATTTCTTCTGTCAGTATGTCAAAAGTTTTAACGATACCGAAAGTTTCTTTATACTTCTTCTTGACATCAGATAAAAGGAAATCTTCTGCTGTTGGATAGTTTTTATTAAGAAATGTCAACATATCCATTTTATCTTCTGCTGGCTTTTCTGCTTCTTTCTTTAAGTCTGCATAGTCGTTTCGCATTCTTTCTATCTCTTTGACTGAGTAGTTATATTTTCTTATTGCTGCTTTACATTTAGAACATTGCGGGTTCATTTTTGCGTTATACATTGAAATAAAACCAGCTAAAACAACTAAAGCGTCAATTGCTCTCTTCATCTCAAACATAGCGGGTCTTATTTGTTTGTTCCATACTTTGCCTCTTCTATCTTTATCTCTTATCTGTCATACACATTCAGCAACTAACGAAACAAAGTTGTCGTAGGTCTTAAATTCTTCAGATTTATATATGTCAGAGATGTTCTTATATACCATGTCGCAATCTTTGTCCATAACCTTATGGTTGCAATGAAATCCTAGAAACTCATAATTTACCTTTCGTATGAACTTCTTTATTTCTACTGAGTCAGTTGCTTTGACTTCTATTTCATCGAATTCAGGAATAGTGAGTTTTTTGTTGTGATTTCAGGCAATTTGGGTAAATGGTCGATGAGGTCCTCCATTTCATAAAGATACTGTTCATTTGTTTCATCTTTCGCACTACAGTCTAAATTACTTGTTAAAAGTTCTTGCTTTATCTTCTGGATTTCTGTTTCAAAAGTATATGAAGA